CAATGACTGTATCAGATACAACTGTTTTCAGGCTCCTTACAAATATCAAGGCAAAGAGGCAAACTTTAAAAAGTGATATAAAGCTAGCATGAAGTTGTATCTTACCCCAAATAATCAACCAAGACTGCAAAAACTGGATGATATGGGGAGGCGGGAGAGGAAAATGAACCAGAAAAAAACACACACCACACAGGCATTTGTCAAAACCCACGTATAACTAACTTCACAGCATAGCTAGGCGATCAAAGATTTTTCCAAAATGCCTAATCGGAGAAAACTGTGATTTTGAGGAAGGCAATTGAGCAATTTGGGCGGGAGCGTTAGTTACTAGGCTTAGAATCAACATCTCTCTCTTTTTTTTTGCAGTGTGAATGCTCATGTCAGTTCCCCTTTGAAACATTCAATATGGTCTTTGCAAATAAATGACGAAATTACTATGCTACTGTGTGTAAACGAAAACGGTTAGTCCTTTATGTTCTGACGCTAGAGAAACTTGAGTGAAACTTCCCCACCGCTTCAAAAAGAAAAGAAAAAGAAAAGGCTAACCGTGGTTCTTAGGTAAATGGTGCAGCCGCTCCCTTCTCCCGGGAGGCTCAGAGGGCCCCGCAGGCAACCGAGTCCGTGAGAAGGGAGAAGGCACTGGTCGCTGGGATTACTAGTGCACAGGTGCCGGCACGGCATCCGCTCCATTTAAAATGCCAACATAAAAACGTATGGTAGCTCCATACGTTTGAAACAAATCAAGGGACTTTTTGTCAAACTGAATCCCCTCGTTACTACTTGAGAAGCAAGGGGAGTAAACAGGCGGCAGGAAAGTCACGAGGGAGCCTCCCACCAGTTCACCGGTCTCCCAAGTGCAGTCGGTGTTGCACAAGGTCCGCTTCTGCAGAGACTATGGCTTCAACCCTAGAGCATCCCACCAGGTTAGAGACTCACAGCCAGCTCGACCGCCCCCAAACCCGCTGCGCCCCAGCCACGCAGGACTCGATCGGGTGGGCGGTGCAGAGTGTGAGCCCCAGCTCCTTTTCCCAACCCGGTCCCCTGCAGGAGCCAGCCTCCCCGCACCCCCGCCACCCACCCGTTCCTACCTCGCCTCATGATCTCTGCTCCAGCTTGTTCCGCGGGGCCGGCAGCGCTAGGAGGCGCAGGCGCCGCGGCCTCTATTTGTAAACACGCTCCACGTGCGCTCGCCCTACCCCATCTGCATCCGGCTCCAGGCACCTGAGGATGCCCCGCTTTCTCGCGAGCCCTCCCAGGGTTGCAAACCGTAGTCCACCTGAACGTGGAGGAAGCCTGGCTTTCAGGGCCGGCCCCCTGGGAGGAGGGCCGAAACAGGGTGCGCCTCTACCGCCGCCTGCTGGTCCGCGAGGCAGCTGGCGGGTTGGAGAAGCCGGGCCATCAGCGGAACCCACGGGTCACCTCCCAGTCGCCGCCCCTCCCCCGCCCCGGCCCCGCCCCTAGCACGCGCGCGCGCCGGTCTCC